TGCCATGAGTTCCAGGGCAGCCTGGGCTACAGTGAGTTCAAGGTCAGCCCGGACAGCATGACCCTGTCTCAAATAAAAAAACAAAGCTGCCTCAAGGCTTTAAAAGTTATGATCCTCTTCCCTCTTAGAACCCGTACCAAGGCCTGGGAGTTACTCCTTGAGCTTGTTCAGGGCCTCTCTGTTCCAGCTCTGCACTCATACCCTTCCCATGCCCCTCAGGTGTGGGCTTCGCTACCAGACAGGTGGCCTGCATGACCAAGCCTACCACAGTCATCGAAAAGAATGGTAACACTATCATCATAAAAACACACAGCACCTTCAAGAATACAGAGATCAACTTTGACCTGGGGGTGGAGTTTGATGAGAAGACAGCTGATGACAGGAATGTCAAGGTGAGTCAGAAGGGGGAGTGGGGGATAGGGGGCTGAGACCCTGATGGGACAAAAGCTGGTAGTCTTTTTTTTTTTTTTTTTGTCTTTTTGAGACAGGGTCTTGCTATGCAATTCAGGCTGGCCTTGAGCTCACTTTATAGCCCAGGCTGGTCTCAAACTTGCAACAATCCTCCTGCCTCAGCCTCCCGAGTGCTGGGATCACAGGCATGCGCCACCACACCCGGCCTGAAGCTGATAATCTTGATTCCTTGACATTGCCCCATAAGGGGCAGGGGAACTTAAGGGCAGCAAAGTTCACAGGGCCCATTCAGCGCTGAAATGTTCCCAGAGCTAAGTCCATGTTAGTTCTGTTCTTTTGTTTCTTCCTTGCCCTCTTGGGAAGCATCTAACTAAGTGCATCTGGGAGTGGGCAACGAAGAGCGAGGATGTTCTCACTTCAGTGTCTGTTCCAGCCCCAGTAGGGTGACTCTGTGCAAGGTATGCAATGGGTTTCTTTCCACTTCCTCAGATGGCCATGGCTATATAACCTGAAGCGTTTTAAGAGCAAAGCCCAGATGTCAGGACCCCACACTGAGTGAGGCTACCCAGGCCCCCAGCATCCAAGAACACCTCCTCTGCTAGGAACAAGAGGCTAAGACCTACTCAGATGCCTCCACTTCTGCAACCTGCAGCTCTCATCCCTGAACAATTTTCAGTGTGGCAACTGACCAGCAGGAAGAGCTAATGTGCTGGGGTGGGGCACTCACAGCTGTGGGTGTTGACAGTCTCTTCCCACCAAGCTTCCCTCACGCCCTCTCCCAGGGTGAGAGCAGGGAGCATCGACCCCAGTCTCAGGCCTTCACTCCATGGTGGCTGTCTTAGCTGCTTGCCTCAGGCCTCTCAGCAAGGGACAGAACAAAGGGGCTCTGACTTTACAGGGCCAGAGTATCGAGTGTCCGTTCAGCTGTTTCCTCTTCCTCACAGCTGCCCCCAGGAAGAACAGGGTAGGGGCTGGTTTCCTTGCAGAGGAAGAGCTGAAGCCCAGCCCAGCATCACAGGGCTGGCAGCAGAGCAGTGGATGGTGCCCAGAGATGACAGCCTACCTTGGGAGGAGGTGGCTGCCCAACACACGTCCGCACCTCCTTGAACCTGCCGCCTTGTTGAGGCAGTCGTCCCCTGGGATGTCTAGGCCAAAAAGAATCTACTCGAGTGGGCAAAAAACTGGATGAGTGAGAATGAGGAGAAAGTGGTATTCAGACAGCAGGCCAAGAGCCAGGCGGCCCTAACATGTAAACACAACTTTCCCAGCCCCTGCTGCGCTCTGCTCAGTCTAGGCTCCTTAGTCTGGCCCATAGCCCCGAATTCCTGGAGAGGGGAGACCTGGTGAGCTGCCAAACGAGAGCCAGCTGATGCAGGCTGGGCGCACTCACAGGGCTAAATGGACATTTGAACCAAGGCTGAGGAGCACTCAGGACCTGCAATTGCTGCTCTTTCAGGTGAAGGGGTCACACGATGTGCACTGACAAGAGGGAAGTTTAATTTTCCAGTATTTCCCATCACAAAACGTCTTTTGTGATGGCCACAAGATACCTCCTCTTCAATCTTTTTCAGGGATAAAGATGGGCATATACCGCATATACCTCAGGGGGACTGAGGCCGAGGGCATCTCCTGGAGTAGATATGCACCCACTTTTTGTTTTTTTTTCCAGTACCGGGAATCAACTCATGAGCTCGCGCTTGCCAGGCAGGCGCTGCGCAGCTGAGCTAAATCCCCAGCCCCATGTTTGGTTTGGTTTTGTGCTGAGGAATCAAACCCAGGGCCTTCCTTGTGTGAAGCACACGCTCTACCAGTAGGCTGCCCTCTCAGCTGGATGCCCTTGTTGGAGTCCTGGACACCTCTGAGCTGTTGCGCGCTGCTGCCCCCTACCTGAAGGCAACTGGAGCAGAGGCTGAAGGTGCACGGGACATCCCATGGGGCAGGCTTGCAAGTGCGCGGCCTGCGCTCCGGTCCCAGCACCGTCACTAGTTTCAGTCAGAGGTTGTGCCCCGAGGCCCGTTTCCTAACCCCATCGTGCCCCTCACTTCTGGCTCAGATCACTACTTAGGTGTCTGCTCTTTCCACAGTCCATTGTGACGCTGGATGGAGGAAAACTTGTCCACGTGCAGAAGTGGGACGGGCAAGAGTCAACACTGGTGCGGGAGCTAATTGATGGGAAACTCATCCTGGTAAGATGGACTACAGAGCCTCACCTAATTGGCTACTACTGCTGCCTCCTAGCCAGGCCTGTTTGAAAACCAATGCCCTCCCCTGGGTGCCACAGGACTGGTACAAAAGAGGCAGAGGCAGGGTCCTGCTTTGGACTCACACAGGTTTGGGTTCAAATTTCACCTTAGAGGCTGCACTGCTTTGGCAAGTCAAGTGCAAACTGTAAAATGCATATTAATAACTTGCCGCGGGCAGTCTGAAAGAGACAGTGTACCCATGGCAGAAAACATCACGGAGGTGGGAAGAGCCCAGCAGATGCTCTGGGGCCTTAGCTTCCTCCTGTGTCTGCCTTGCCTTCTCCAAGAAGATGCAGAAAGCAGGGCCAGTCTGATCCCAGGCTCTCTAGGACAGGTTCCTATCGCTGATCACAGCTTCCTTCCCTCTCAAGAACCAAACTGTCCCACCAGCGGCAGACTAGTGACTGGTGGGGACACTGACCAGATGAAGCACAGCCCTTCCCTGTCCTAGTCCTGCCTCAGTAATTTCTATAGCTGGCCTCCTACAAGAACCTGTTGTCTGGGTAGGAAGACACAATGAGGTCAGCAGATCTATTTAGGGACAAGTGTGGGGACTCCATTTCGGAAATGGTGTTCTTGACAGAACCTCCCCAGACCCAGGGGCGCAGAGAGCCGCCACAGGTGCTCTCTGTACGTGTTCTCTGCAGACCTTCCCGAGCCAGTGTAACCTGCTCCCCGCATTCTTGCACTCAATGGGGCTGAGGTTCCTACAGTTAGGACCAAAAAAAAAACCTACAGTTAGGACCGAGGCACCTAGCTTTGGTCAGGATGTGAGATACTCACAGGGCAGTCAGAGAACGGTGTGGCTGTGGGCTTGGCTCTGCAATGCCAGACTAAATAGTGGGGGTTCAGGGATCTGGCCCTAGAACTGCCCAAAGTTAGGGATAGAGCAGGAGTTGGTAGGTTCACAGTCATTTCTCAAGAGTCTCTAGAAACTTTTATTCACCTATTTGTCTACTCTGTCCCAGGCATCATCCTAAGTGCCCAAGTTCGTAAGAATCTGAAGGAAGCTGAATAGTGCAGGGGAATGAGAAACATTCTAGGATCCTGATGAAATTACTTCCTCTTTCAGAGCTCTTTTCCAAATCTCTAAAATAGGGATTATACTGCCTATCTTAAAGGCTTGTCCTATGTATCAGGAAAAAAAATGTGTGACTATGTCTGGCACACAGTTGACTCAAGTGATCATCAGGATAAGGGATGCCAGGTGTGCCCCTGCTTCCTGCTCTCGGCCCCATCTGACTCTGTCTTTCCTTCCAGACCCTCACCCACGGCAATGCAGTCTGTGTTCGCACTTACGAGAAGGAGGCATGACCTGACCTGCTGGTGCTGTCACCAACTACGTCTCTGCTAAGTGACTACCCCTTGCCTAGTACCGCCTTGCCTCACTTTTTTTCCTCTGATATTTTGTATAAATAAATCCACTTTGGTTGGGAAATTCTTTGGGGATCAAGTGGTACCAGCCTGGATCCAGTTCCAGTTCATAGTATGTATGTGGTCTGGCTTTTTAAAAACTGTATCCAGAAGGTGCCCTGAGGTCAATAAAGCAGCGCAAAGGCCACCTGTTGTCTTTCTGTCTCTGTTGACAGGACTTTTAAGGGTCTGTTCCCTGTGTGAGTCAGTGGGCAGAAATGACTTCCTGATGGTCACTCAGGAAGCCGCACTGGATGAGTAGTAGTCTCAAGGACTGCTAGTCAGCTGGTCACCTGACGCATTCAATAGTGACTCAGCTGTCCATACACCTTGCCTTTCCCCTGCCTGCTCCCATGGTCAAATGAACTCGTGCAGTCTGTGGGGAGTCCCCAGGTTTGGCCATGAACTTTTACCACAAGCCCATCCTGCACTGAACATCTGTGGGTCTGGTTCTCTGGAATGCCTTTCACAGTGCAGGCTCAGGACACAGCATCCACGCACGTGCCATTGCGGTGGAAGGTGATCATGGCTAAGATGACTGCTAAGTTCCCACCTATGCACCAGGCTAGTAATCAGATTCTGACTGGTTCTCTAACCAGTTGTGGGGAAAGAGATCATCTAATTGTTACAGAAGGGAGGCTAACAAGTGATCTCCCAAGAAAGCTGTGACCTGCTAGTGCCTCTGACTCTGTACCTCAGGTGGGCCTCTCTCCAAGGTCTAAGACAACATACTAAATGCTTTTCTGACCCAGCACTTGGGAGGCTGAGGCAGGAGGATCACCAAGTTGAAGGCTAACCCTAACTACAATAGCAAGACCCTCTCTCAAGGAAAACAAATTCTCTTCTGTCAGCTAATGTAGGCTGTGATTTGAAGTCTGTAAGTTACCCATGAATAAGGGTTACAGGAATAAGAACTTTAAAACAAAACACAAGTCCATTTAGTGCCAGGAGTTTAAGCAGAGACTTGACGTGGAACCAGCAGACTCTCACAGTAATACACAGAAAGTACAGCAATGATCTTGGCCTCAGATGTCTGGTTCAGTGGTCTGGTGGAATGTCATACATAAAATGAGTCACACTGCAAATGCTTGTTTTCTGACTGTGGCCACTGGCTGTCACTTCTAGCACAGTAGAACCATGTTGAGAGAATGTAAAAAGTGAGCACCACTTCTTACCACATTCTCCCTCCTACTGCTATTCTTCCTCTGCTCCTGTGGGGTGCGGCAGAGACCACGAGCCACATGGCCCAAGACTGTCCAATAGGAAGGGGCAATCACTGCAACAACAGCCAGGCTCGCCTCCACAGCAGTACCTGTGGCTTTAGCCTGGATCCCCACAATGGAATCCAGCTGTGGCAGTGGCGGCTGGGTAAAAGGACCACCTGCTGAGTGAAGGAAGTTGGGTGAATGAATGGGTGGGCTGCAGGGGTCACTTGCAAGGGGGTCAGGTGCAATAAGGAAAGACTCATTCAGGCAGCTGCTTTTGACCTCAACTTCCAAACCTGCCTGCTGCATGAGGGGAAGCCATCTCCCATAGGAGCGAAGTCACTGGGGTGGGGGCCATATTTTCACTAGCAAGTCTCTCCACAGGCCAGGGCTTTAAGGCACAAAGCTCCTGGATCCATATTCTCTCACCCACCCCCGCCCCCATTCTCTTCTACTCTCACTCCTTGTGTTTCTTCTTATGCTTCTTTTTCTTTTTCTTCTTCTTTGCTGCCTTGCTGTCTTTTGATGTGTGCCTTGCCCTTTTGCCTGTATCACTCTCAGAGTCTGAGCTGTCAGAGTCAGATGACTTCCTGTCTCTATGCTTCTTTTTCTTCTTTTCCTGAAAAGAAAATTTAAAAATTCAACATTGTGTGTGAATATTAATTTTTTAAAAAATTACACAGTTCTGGGTACAAAGGTGCATTCCTGTTATCCCTGCCCTCTTGAAGGCAGAGGTAGGAGGGTCAAAAGTTCAAGTCCAACCCAGGCAGCTTAAATGACTTAGCAAGACCATTAGGGGGAAAAAAAAAGGGCTTGGGATGTAGTTCACTGCAAAGGCCCTAGGTTCAATCCCCAGTTTAAAAAAATATATATACATATGAACCAAGTATGGTGGCTCATGCCTGTACTCCCAGCACTTAGGAGGCTGAGGCAGGAGGACCTCCATGAGTTGTTAGAAGGCAGGTTGGGCTACGTAGTGAGTTCAAAGCCAACCTGAACTACACAGTGACACCCCGACTCAAACAAAAAATTAGGACTTCTAACTTCCAGTTTAGATTTTATTAGACTCTGTTACCAGGGAAAATCACCAATTAACGATCCCCTGCCTACTATCCTTAAATACTAATCTCACTTTCACAACAATCTCACAAGAGTATACTGATAAAGAACAGAGTTCAGAAAGAACTTTCCCAAAATTAGGCACCCTATACCATGCTGCTATAGTAATAGTGCAAATCCACATTAAGGACAGAAAACAGCTTCCTAGACTTCTACCAGGTACTCTGGGCAGTTTTTAAGTACTGCATAAGTCTTTTTCTTGATTTTCAAACATGTACTGTATATTACTTTAGTAAAGTTTCTAAAAGAGGGAGAGACTACAGGAGGCAAAAAGGAAAGCGAAGAAAAAGGTGAGGTTCCTGCTCCACAGGCAGCGTCCTGGATGAGAACTCTGCCTGGGTACTGCATCAGGGGTTAGAAGCAGTTGTGAGATAGTGGAAAGAACAATAAATCAGGTGTTTGACCTAAACTTGCGTTATATGTACTATTCACTGTTCTGTAATACTGGCAAGTCACCTCACCTGACTGAGGCTTCGCCTCCTCAAACGGAAAACACACAAGAATAGCACCTATGTCACAGGTTCTGGTGATTTTTTTGTTGTTATTTTTTTGTTTTTTTGTTTTTTTTTCCGGTACCAAGAATCAAACTCACGATGTCACGCTTGCCAGGCAGGCGCTGTGCCACTGAGCTAAATCCCCAGCCCCAGGCTGTGGTGATTTAATGAGACACATCCATGGCTTGTAGAAGTTGGAGGTCACCTGCCCCAAATCATATAGAGTTGGGACCTGCATGCAGATGATGTGAAAGGTAATCTCCTGAGTTAGCTGATGCAGCCAGGGCCTCTCTTCCTACACAGTGATGGGAGGCCTCACGGTATGATGGTCAGAACTAGTCTACGATAAGACAGAATTAAAATTCAAATTCCAGCTCTGCCACTTCAATCACTACTGTGAAGAAGAGACTACTTTTTTAACCCATTCTCACGAAGCTGGAAATAATATGTAGCAATTTCAAAGGATGCTAAGAGAGTTAAATAAGTTCTAATTACAGTACCTGACACATTATAGGTACTAAGTGATAGCTAAAAATGTTTCTTTCCCCTATGCTAGGGATCATGCCCAGGGGCTAGGACAAGCTAGGCAAGTGCTCTGCTGCTGAGCTACACTTCTAGAAAAATTTTTCTCTCATTTCAGAGAACTCCTAGGATGTTCTTACAGTCCGGCCAAGTAAATATAGCAAAATTCTTTCTCGGCATTACCAGTGGAGTAAAGAGTAGGAACAGAGATTCTCAGACCCATACTACCAGGCTATAGCAACCATGTCTAGGAGGAACTGAGAGTTGGCAAGTAGATGCTTTGGCGTATGGTGCTGCACATCTATAGAGGGCAAGACCATGGAGGGCCACCCCAGGATAGTATGGGCTTGGGAGCCCACCAGGTTCTGCCCTTACAAAGTAAATAAACAAATGTAGTATCTGGCACCATGTTCGCTCTAAGCCTGGCCCAGTCTGGGTAAGAAAATGAGAATAATAATAATACTGCTTTACATCTAAAAAGCATTTTCTGTAGTTTCTCAAGCCTTTTGTGTCCCTTATATTATTACTATAATGATCTGTTTAAGTCAAAATTCATGACCTTTTTCTTTTTTTGAGATGGGGAAGGTCTCTTTATGTTGCCCAGGCTGGCCTCAAACCGGAGCCAGCCTCAAACAGCCTCTTGAGTAGCTGTAATCCCTGCAGAGCTAAAATTCATGAATTACAATTTTACAGATAGAAAACTCAGAAATCAGAAGCTGATCAGAGGTAAAGGAACAAGAACACTGTATTTTCTAACAGAGTTTGGCACTGTTTCTGTTTCTCAAGTATATGAGCTCAGAGGAAAGAGAAAAATCGATCCCTAGAGAACCCTGCACAGTGGAAATGGACCCTAGCTAGTGAGGAGACTGCCTTCTAGGCCTCAATCTGAATGCAAAAGCGCTTGTGCAGTCTCAACAAAGATGAGCCAGGCTCCAGCAGGTGGTGTCCTCTGTACCATGTGTCTAGCCTGGGCTAAAAAGCCTAAGAACAGTTACTTCAGGACCCAAAGTTCAACAGCAAGATGGGAGTTGGGTGGGGGAAGACAGAGAGCCAGGAACTTCTAGTACCTGAACTCCATTCAAGTAGGAAGCAGAACATAAGATAAAGGGTGAAAAAAATGGCGTAAGTGTGTAAGTCCATGGCAGACCGGCCAAGAGAGACACTCAAAAGAAGCCATTGTTCAAATGTCTCTAGGACTCCAGGAAAAGCACATAGCCCTGCTACAGTATTTTCTCTATAGCTCTGAAACAGGAATAGGAGGGGCCAGGGTGAAAGAAAAAAACCAAAAACTCAGAGAGAAAGGACAAGTCCAGTGAGCACTTATTCAGTGCTTGATTTTCTAGATGCTGGGCCTATTTTCCACACATCTCATTAACCTTCATCGACAAACCTATAAAAAGTGGCCATACTTAACTCAAAATTTTCAGGAAAGAACACTGTAACCTCCAGGAGGGTGACGGAGATGGAGTGACTTACCTATGTGGTAGGACTTGGACTTGACTCAGCTTGGGTTCTAAAGCAAATTTTTTTTAGCTGTCTGTACTAAAGGCAGCAACAAACTTAGCACCCTGAACCAAAAAGCACTGATTTGGCCGAAGTCAAGCAAGCAGGCAAGTTGTTTTAAGAAATTACTGATTCTTAAGAGATGATTTGATTATCAAACTGGTTCTCTAGGATAAACTTTTGGGAAATAGGACAGTGGGTATTTCCTGGCTAGAACTTGTCTACAAAGTACCCATTTATTATAGCTTGGAAAGGAAAAAGCGGGATCCAAGAAAAAAGCTCATCAAAAAACTTGGAAATATTTACTGTACAGCCTGTAATCCCAGCACTTGGGAGGCTGAGGCAGGAGGACTGTTGCAAGTTTGAGACCAGCTTAGGCTACAAAGTGAGCTCAAGGCCAGCCTGAACTGCATAGTAAGACCCTGTCTCAGAAAGACCAAAAAAAAAAAAAAGAAAAGAAATATTTACTATGTACAAAGTACTTAGAGAGCCACAGTTACATAGAGTGTTGCTTAGGTATAAAGAGAAAACAGGGCCGGGAATATAGCCCAGTGCACAGCACCTGTCTGGCAAGCATGAGGTCATGAATTTGATTCCCAGTACCAAAAAAAATAAAATAAAGAGAACACAGATTCCTAATATAATTCAGACAAAGAGAGTACCTTCCAGTGTAAAGCAGTATAAAGGAGCTAGGGGGTGCAAAGTAAACACTTAGCAGTGGGGCTAGGTACCATGTCCTCCAAATGTGAACCAATCTCATCAAACAGGGGAAAGAGTAGCTCCTTGTAACTATACAGGACATTTTCATTCAGTAAATATTCGCTGAGGACCTTTTATGAGCTAGAAATATTAATTAACTCATCTCTTACAATAGTTTAGTGAGGTCAGAAACCAGGGGTTATGAGCCTTCAAAAACGAAGTAGACTAGCCACCTCCTTGGCACAGCAGGCAGCGTGTCAGTCTCACAATTTGAAGAACAAAGCAGACTAAAGAAAGATTATAACACTAGGCAGCCCACAGCAAATGATGTCAGGTACAACAGAGGTACTGTAATACCTCCTGGAAACAAACCAGTTATACAGTGGCCACAAAGAACATGTCAGGGGTTGTACTCTGAAGCATGAATGTGCCTGTGCGAATGAATGGTGATGGTGCTGATGGAAGGGAAGCGAGGGCTGTCTAGCCAGAAGGAAGACAGGAGGAGATGAGGACATGTTTCAAGTGACAGATACTTGTGTGTGGCTTGTTTATTGTGCCTGGACCCCAACCCTTCTCTCTTACTTAGACATCAATCCAGGAATTGTTACACCTATACTACCTATACTGCATCAGTATTCTTTTTTTTTTTTTGGTCTTTTTGAAACAAGGTCTCACTATGCAGTTTAGGCTGGCCTTGAGTTCATTTTGTAGCCCAGGCTGGCCTCAAACTTGCAACAATCCTCCTGCCTCAGCCTCCTGAGTGCTGGGATTACAGGCGTGCACCACCACTGCCGGCTTGTATCAGTGTTTCTAATGGCTCATTCTCAACAATAAATAAATATGCTATTACTATTTCCTTTAGAAAAAAGTATAAACAAAAACCAACCCTCCTGAACAACTGTTATCTGTTATCATCCCACCCATCCACTGTTGTCAAAGTTACTAATGACCTCCGCAGGGCCAAACCTACGGTGCTTGGTATTAATCCCCACAGTACTGGAGATTGATCCCAGGGTCTCACATATGTGAGGCGAGCACTTGACCACTGGCCAGTGCCTCCATCCCACCCTTTTTTTGGGTCAGGGTCCTTTTTTTGTTTTTGGTCTTCTTGAGACAGGGGCTCCCTGCACAGTTCAGGCTGGCCTTGAGCTCACTTTGTAGCCCAGGCTGGTCTCAAACGCGCAACAATTCTCCTGCCTTAGTCTGCTAAGTGCTGGGATTACAGGCATGGCCACCACGCCCAGCCCAGAGTCAAGCTGGGATTACAAACATGTGCCATCAT